TCCGGCATACCCGTCATGTAGAATAGTCCGGCTCTGCAATCTCCCTCCTCGTGCATTGCCTGCAGCTCCCGACACAGCCCCCTTCTGATAGACAGCAGCGGTGGCCAATCAGGCGGGCGGGCTAGATAAATGACCCTGGCAGGTTGTATCCGGCCCGTGGGCCATACTTTGAGAACCCCTGCTCAAGGCAGTTATAGTTTTATCAAGACAGGAAGATCTTTGCATAGCTGTCGTCTACCCATTATCTTTGGGGACCTGAAGTAGTCAGGATGAATGGACCAAATGCCCAGAATGTAGTGGTTAGTCTAGAGAGCAGTACCTCCTTGGTACACTTTTAACTTGATAGGTAAGAATGAGATGAAAGCACTTGGAGGATAATTCATTAGGGATCGGACAGCGGGAAAAGAGAATGTATACACTCTCATAGGGAGACCAAGTGGCAGTAGGGAGGGAAGGCAAGGCCAGCAGGAAAGAGAGAGACAATAGTTGAATCCAAATAATCAAAGGTTCTTGTTTGCGTATATTAACAGGAGGTAACCCATAGGATGTTTACCTTGGATCACTCACCTTATTTTTCAACTGCAGCTGAAGTGGGCCCATAACTTGAATACAAGTCTATTGTAGTTTTAGTAAAACAATTTCAGAGAGACATGGTCAGAGACATCTGCTAGAGTCCTAAGTGGACAACTGCCAACTGAAGTAGACAACATGGGTCAAATGGAACAGCTACAGGACGTAATTATACCAATATATCATTTCTAGAATCTACATAATAATTCCAAATGGCATTTCTGCATCATTATCACTCTATGCATAAAGGTGAAGAGAATTGCTACTCAATATGTTCATGGCTGAGATTTGTGTTGGCTGATAGCCTCACCAACATATATATTTATACCAATGGCTGGCAGGAAGCATAGGTATATTATAATAGTAAGTAAAATTTAAATTTTCTGAGAACCCAGAAGTAATTTTTCCATAATTTTATTTGCACAGTTACTTTTATTTATTAATAGTTAGATTTAATATACACCAACTACCATGATTTCAGTGGTTCATAATTTGTGTTTATAGAACTAAATATGGAGTTTTGGAACACAAATAAACATCTCATGGTTTTAATTCTTCTTAATTCCTTTCCTTGCAAGGAAACTTTATGTTTTTAATTAAATATAATTTATAATTTTAAATATAATTTCCATCTATTACTTTATCAATAATCCATCTACATTCAGTCTTTAAAATACCTCCTAAATTTTGCTTGTCTGAGGACTATGATCCATATTAGTGACAATCTTAAATATAATATACAAATCTGAGAGGAAATTCATCTGCTGCTCCTTCACAGTTTTCACTTCTGATTTAATGCTGTCTTGTTCCTAATATAAGAGGACATTTCTTCAGATGCGTGCTACATTCAGAATATTGGTTTTTGCAAGTACAGCTACCTTATTGCTTCATTAACAGGCTTTGAACATTTGGGAAGAGAATAACTACACTATACATCCATCTTTGAAAATTTAGGAACATGGAAGCATGTACTATCTATTCTGCAGCTGGTCTAAAAGTAGCAGAAGATGGCTTTATATATTTTCTCTCTTATCTGGGATGGTCTACAACCATAGCATCACCTCGTAAATATAGTTTCTGTTCCTTTGAATTTCCTGGATGTCATTAAAATCCATTGAACAAAACCCAGTTCTTCTCTTGTATCGCAATGTCCTGCTATACCTGATAAAAGGAAGCTGAATGTTGTTTGGTTTAGCTTAGATAAGTACTATGGTCATAGACCAGAACAACTTAAAAAGTAAAATAATAGTAATAAAAATATATCAGGATGAAGCGTGATCTGGCTAAAATAATATATCAAAGCACATATAAATGTTAACATGTAAAGTAAGATAATCGGGCTCACCCCACTTGAAGCAGTCGTTTGTGTTCCATCATAGCCAGTGTACCAAATCTGTCTATGCTACCTGAGATCTCCCCTTTCTGATCAGCTAGTAGTTGAAGTAGTTATCCTTAGGCCTGCCTATTGAATAATCAAATGAATATTTTGATTCAGGAGGAGAATATAATATATTACCCAAAATATGTTCAACTGATACCATTAAACAGAAACTGAATCAATTTCAGATAACAATTGCTGCTTACTTAAACATTATATGAGAAGGCTGTGATTAGATATCCCAATGCAATTTCTAAAATAGATTGGGGCCCTGCAGGTACCATACAAGAGATAGAGGATCTATTCTTCTCCTTCTGTGTCATGATTAAACCAAGATCTGATGCCCACAGAAACCGATATAAAGAAAAGGGAAGCTAAGGAGGCTTGTATGTTCTTCACACTAAACCTAACAGAAATGTTGGTGCAGGGGATGGAAGCATTTAGGTTGTGATATATAGAAAGCAGAATGTTCTCCAACCATCTCAGTGCTATTTTTAAAGATTTAAAACTTGCCCAGACATCCAGTCCACGATCTCCAATCTAATATTCAATCTTACAAGGAGGCTTAAAGCAGATATATCAAATCCACGTTTCATCTATTTACTGCAAGCTGTCTAAAATTATAGGAACTTTTACAGGAAATTAATACCATGGAAGCCAGCAGCAATTTGTATATTCTCTGACGCAAGTTAATAAAAGAAGAGTGTGGACACTCTGGGCACATTTCACATCTGAGAAGCTGAACACAAAAGCAAGCTGAAATACTGTGTTCTGTAAACTCTACTCTTTGCAAGGTAGCATTACATTACAAGTAACTTGTATACGCCACTTTGTAGCTGACTTATTTAGCTCAGAAAGTAGCCCAACCAGCTTTGTGTCAGATTTGAGGAGTTTCTCATCCTGGTTCATTCTGGATTATTATTTGGGAAAACTTTTGTTAGCATGGTGCCTAATGATTCCTATGGATTCTTTTTCCTATAATCAGGCGTAATTTGCAGGAGATAAAATGTGAACTGGATCAAATGGGAGAGAGATTAACACCAAAAAAGGGATTAAATTTAGCCCCAAAGATTCATTCATGTAAAGGATTGAGCTAACTTTATGCAGTTAACCCTATGGTGGGAACACATTAGCAGTCAATGGATTCATTTTGGGAAGGGTTCCAAGAAAAAGCTATAGAGAAAGAGTGGCTGAAGAAGCAAGCCTCTCCATTCTAGAACTCATAGCTAAGGCCTGACTATACAAAAGTATCTCCCAAACTTGATTGGCTGCAGTGGCTCAGCCATGCCAGATGTTCCTGCCTGGTCAATAAGGAAGGTGCAAATGATGCTATAAAGATTTGCCAGCATTCCTCTGGGCAAAGGACTAAAGAGATATTAGACATTTCCTGGGGAAAGGCAGGGGGAGCTGACTGGTGATTTTTGGCCCAGTTAGTGGCGTTGTGTGCTACCAGTAAAGAGATTTGATTGGTTAGTGGTTGACTAAATTAAACATATGGTTGGAACAAAGTCAGTGATTGGTTGCTCAGACCATGTTAGTAATCCTTTACCAACTCTCCTGTGCCCCCCATCCCACTATTGACTTGTCTGATACAGTGAAACATCAGTAAGGCCAACGTGAGATAGAGGGCAGGAAATATTGCTCACAAAAGGCATGAAGAATGCACACACCCAAATCAATACGTTATATAGAAATAATATATTGAAGCTAGAAGCTAAAAATAAGTACTGAATGATTTGTGATTAGTAAAAACACATAGTGGAGGAATGTTAAAAATGTATAATTGAGAAATTACAGTCTTAAAAAATATGATGGAAAAGGAGGAGATGGGATGGGACAAGGTGATATAATTACAGCAACCATGAATATACAGTACATTAGTTTCTTTCTTCAGCTTCCCCAATTTGTTCTGCCATCCAAAAGTCTCTAATTTGAGGAAGGACCTGTTAATTCTTTAATGCAATACAGGTAGACTACTACAAGAACCTGGTTTGCCCCGGGATCAGAGACA